TTTTTTTTGTCTTTTTATATGAGAATATTTCTCTTTACTTTTATTTTATATAATTTTATGATAAATTAAATTTAATAATTCAGTAAAAAAATATTTAATAATCTTTAAAATATATAATTTTAACAGAATAAATAAATTCATAAGATATAAACAAATAACCACATGTATTTTTTTAAGAACTATAGGAATAATAAATAATTAAGAAATATTTTTTATTTACGTTAATATAGAAATCTATTCTCTTAAAAAATATTTATTATTTATATATTCCTATTTAATTTTTGCTTAAATTGATATAGTTTTAACTTTGACTATTTTTTACTAATTTTCTTGTAAAAAGGCTTCAAAAGTGTAATAATTCTTTAAGAGTATTGAAATAAATTTATATTTTTTAGCATAATATTCTCAATTAACACTAAATTTTTTTAATTAAATTAATAAATTTATTATGAAAATATTTCTTTAATAATATTAAATGTAAAAGAATTTATTTATTTTTTAAATTAAATTTATTTTTAAATAATTTTATAAAATAACCTTTAAACATGTATTTTTATAAAGATATCAACAATAAAAAGACCTATACATTGTCAAAACAATTAGAAGATAAATTTATAGAATCAGCACATCCAGCAAGATTCTCCCCAGAAGATACTGACTCTGAACCTAGAATATTAATGAAAAGACGTTTCAAAATATCTCCATTTGATAAATAGTAATCCCTTCAGATACCAATTATTTAAAATATATATCTCAATGTTATTAGTCTTATTTTCTTTTTAAAAAATACTATTCTCACTTGAATAATGCGTTTTCCTTTAGTTTCATTAAGTATTAGATTAAGTATTTAATTATTTAATTATTTATTTAATTATTTATTTAATTATTTATTTAATTATTTATTTAATTATTTAATTATTTATTTAATTATTTATTATTATTTATTTGGATCTCTACAAACATATTAATTATGGAATGTACACATTCAGTGAGATTAAAAAATATATGTTGTATCTGTGGTGTAGAAGTATTTGATAAACAGAAAGAATTTTGTTACTTAA